CGTTATAGCTCATATAGCTGCTGTGCATGACTCTATATAGGTTTATTAGAATGACTAAGTTTCTTGGACAGCATCAAACACACAAAAAACACTATTACAGTTTCCTGAGAGAGATATGTAATAAATTAACTCCACTTCCCTACATCTCACCTTCTACTACTACTAGTGTTGATGCATCTGCACTGAACAGAACTTTCACAAGACTTGCATCCCTAAACTTTGGAGACTACTCCAAGTACAAGAACTGAGGATAAAGTTGAGACAGGGCCTGCGAAATGGAGCTATTTATGATCATCCTCAAATACTAACTAGTTGCTCGGCTTGTGCAGTTTATTCTGACTGCAGCCAAGTTGGAAGTGATGGCAGGATAGCTGTCCCTCGCTGTTGAGTGGTGACTATACTCTGCAGCCTGGCCATCTGCTTCGGTGCAGAAAATATACCAAAAACCCCAGAGACATTTACTGTAGAGCTACACTGCAGCAAAACAAAACAACGTCTTCGAACCCAAAACGACAGATTGAAGTTAATCTGAACTTTTGAGACGCATGCTCAACAAACTTGAGGCTTGAATTTTGCCGCAGGTCTTTCCAATAGAAGATATGTTGCAAGAAATGTATATTTGGTCGTCGTCTGATCATGTGGTGCACTTTACTGTCACCGTCTGCGGGAACACAATCACTCTGTCAGCCTGCATCTTGTTATGAATCAGTCACACATCTTATAAACATGGCCGCCCTAGTACGCCTACAGGCCTTGAGGCCTCCATGACCTCTTCTTCCAACCAAAACCTCAAAAGACCTGCTTCAGTGCGCATAAAAAGACCTGTTGTGCCCTCTAGTGGCGGTTTGTTTTACACCGTTTATTCTATATAGTGTGGCACAAACAAGAGTGACGATCTCCTCCTGCACAAACAAATGTCGAGAGGGTTTACCATGTCAGGACTGATATGTAGCTGGGTGGTGGAGAGGAACAACAACACGTTTTTGTGTCGGAAACATCAGGTGTTCAACCTAACCTGACCCCTGTCACTGACCTCTGAACTCTTGATTTCCCCACAGCAATCAATGAAGCGTATCAACATCATGCAAAGAGCAGAGAGCGCACAGGTCCAAAATAAGTCAAACTACCAAACATTCAAAGAGATGTTGCTCATAATGTCATAAGACTGACATTTATTTAACAGTACTAATACTTTGGAATATGTTTTGCATTGGAGGTCATTCATTTTTAAATGTTTCTGTCTTGGTTTTCAAATGAAGATGACTGGAAACTAGGTTTTTTTTCTCCTTCCTTTCTCCGCTAAAGAACACAAGTGGATGAACAGTTTAAATGATAGCCTTTTGGTTAACACTGACACATTTACAGTGATGTTGACTAAAGTGCATTTGTCCCAGAGAATGAAGTACTCTCCAGACATTATTCAACTGCACTGCTGAGCGATTGTGTAATCCTCTCATATGACTGATAATCTGTAATTGCATCTTGAACAACAACTGAAGAAGAGGCGTGAGAGAGCTGCGGGGCCGTGTGTGGAGGGCCAGGTGTTTCCAGAGTGCTGCCATCTGGACACAGCGTTAGCAGCTTATGAGGCAGGTGTTGCAGAGCAGGAGAGACACTTATGCTCTCTGTAACGGCCTCTGCCTGTTCCTGCTGATGCACTCTTACATTAGATCTAACATCTCAAAAAGGAGGAATATGTTTTATTGATGACATTTAATTCAGTTACTTTATTGATCTCGTCACAATCATTTTGCTGCTGAAATATGCAGGAGAGTGAAATATTAATTCTATATACACTCTATATTATATTTAAAGCAATATAATAACATATACCATATTTGAATGAATGCAATATTCATTCAGTCTATTTGAATGAATCTAATATTCATTCAGTCTATTGAGGTTTATAAATTATTATGTATTGAAATACATTAAATATAGACTGTTATTGTGTCAATAACTTGTAATATGCAGTGTTGTGGTTTTATTGTTATAGTGAGAATTAAATGTAACAATTAAAAGAGAACCTCACCACGTAGTGACGATATAAAAACACAATGTGTATACTGTGGTCATCTCTATTCTCCTCAGCCCAGCAGCTCAGAGGAATCCTGCTGCCATCAACTGGTGAAACCTGCAAAGACACCACTCGACCTCAAGTTCTCTGCTCTGATAAATGCACATTTTAAGCCATCAGTTCGCAAGAGATTTGGCCCGAGTGCCATCTAAAACAATGTTGGGGTCGATTTCACTCCATTATACTCACTCATCTGAGAGAACAGTCCAAACTCAAATTCAAGAATGTACTTTAAGACCCATTCTCTGTAAATTGTCAAAAGATTGGATGATTAGACTTGAGTTAAAAAAAAATTGATGTCAAATTGTGATATTGGAATTATACGGCTCTATCTCACTTTTTAATAACGCCGAGTTACACACATTTTCATGAATGTTGAATATTACTTTAGGCTTTTTCAAAGACTCTTTGGCGGTTTAATATTTAAAAGGATAGAAAGCACATTACTATTTTTCTATCTGGCTTGCCAAATCTTCAATGAACAGTTTATCAGAGCTGCTGTCGACCCACTAGAGGGAACCTTATATTTCCAGGCTTAAAAGATTGAATTTATTATGACTCCTATTAAGTCTAAATCAACCCTTAACTGGTGTGCATATTTCAGATCAGATATTATATTGATCCCCTGAGGAGAAATTCACATGTTACTGCGGTACAAGAAAAAGTCTGAGGAGGTAGGATGCAGTTAAAGCTGTTTAAAATAATAAATAAATATAAAAATTAAGTAAATTACATTCCAAAGCTACAAATACATTACAATAGAAATATGTGCAAACATATATGTGCAAAATGAAAGAGTCATATGCAACTCTGCAGGCCTATAAGGAGGTTACATGCAGGCTAATACAGGAAGAAGATCTCACAAACTTTAACTTCAAATCAATTAAAAATAATACCAATAGAGTTCCCACGACAGCTGACAATATGTAGTGAAATACTCCAGACATCTGGTATCTAAACAGGGATCAGAGCATTAGGGAGGACATTTTCTGGAACTCAATCTGGTACCGTTGCTGTAGTGGATAGACGACAGCCTGTCAAATGGACTGAAAACAGCAATAAAAACGAATGATGTTCTAGTGGGACATTTTATACAACACTCCTGAACTCCCTCAGTACAAAATGTTAAGTGTCTCCCACAATGCATCACTCGCACACTGTCCAGCTAATGAGGAGAACTGCAGAGTTCAGTGAGCCAATTTAACTCCTAAAACAAACTGTAAATAAACCAGCAGGAGCCCATGAGTACCTGCAGATGCCAAATTATAACTGCTGTCTTGTTGCCCACTAAGAGAAACTCTCAGGTAAATATGTCTTTACACACACACACACACACACACACACCTCCCCCTTACCTTTACCACGCATCACATCAGGAATGAGTCTGGGTATTCTATCATGCTTTTGGAAAACCCGAAAGTACATTATAACATTTTTTTACTATTTATGTGTGTGTGTGTGGGGAAATCCCTTAAATTTCCTCATGGCTTGACCAGAGCTTGCAGATGAGATAAAGTGCTGCTAAGGAAAATAGTGCACTTCAGCAATGCTCATTAACCCAGTCATTGATTTGCATCTGCAGGTGAATCTAATAAACATGACCTATCATGCAGTTTTGACTAATGACTGGAAAAAGGTTGTCTTGCTCACCAGAGGGACCTTACAATTAACAATACAGAATATGTTACTAACACCGATATGCACAAACCATATTAGTATTAAAATGTGAGCCAAAACAATATTACGCTTAATGTCAAACAACTAGACTCTAACAGTGGCTATTGTCAATCATTTGCATTGGCTAGTCATATTAAGATCGTCTGTTCATTTGTTTGTGATTGCTTGAGGTTGGTCACTTTGCTTAGAAAGTAGCCTTTTCACGGGACACCTCGGTGATAATAAGGAAGACATAAACCCACTCTACTCTAAATCTGATTGGTTTAGCCTGATATTATTACCCTAGCCAATCTCAGTCTTTGTGATATTACTTGTACACTACTCTGACGCTAATTCAATGTATTGCATTTCCCCACTTTGACCACTTGAGGGCGGCAAACCCTCATCATTCTACACACACGGGTTGTACTGCCTGTAATTCAGTTTGTTGACGTGGTATACAAACTTCCGCTGTGAGCTTTCAAAATAAAACTAAAAGTAGCCAGCTGTATTTTTCAGTCTGTGTATGTTAACATGATTTGCAAAATGGAGAAGACATGGACAGGGAGACAATGACAGAGGGATGTTGGAGGGGGGCAAATTGGGCTAATAATATAAAATCAGGCAGCCAGGAACGTAGTTTGTGCTTATAACTAAATCACAGTAGCGATCGACAAATGTCCGCAAAATGACATGAATTTAAAGATGAAAAGTCTCTCAGATCTTTCCAGACTTTTCTTCACATGAGTACTAGAACTTTCCAGACTGTTCTTCACATGACTACTAGATCTTTCCAGACTGTTCTTCACATGACTACTAGAACTTTCCAGACTGTTCTTCACATGACTACTAGATCTTTCCAGACTGTTCTTCACATGACTACTAGATCTTTCCAGACTGTTCTTCACATGACTACTAGAACTTTCCAGACTTTTCTTCACATGACTACTAGATCTTTCCAGACTGTTCTTCACATGACTACTAGAACTTTCCAGACTGTTCTTCACATGACTACTAGAACTTTCCAGACTTTTCTTCACATGACTACTAGATCTTTCCAGACTGTTCTTCACATGACTACTAGATCTTTCCAGACTGTTCTTCACATGACTACTAGATCTTTCCAGACTGTTCTTCACATGACTACTAGATCTTTCCAGACTTCACCTGTCATTTCAACCGACTGTCTTGAATACCACACCTGAAGTCACGAGCGTTTCCCTGACGTCATTGTTACACCATTCTCGTGGGAGGAGCGTGCATGACACATCAAAAGTTGATGAAGAAGAACAGACAGCTCAGCTGCTAGCGGGCAGTGGTGCTCAGGGATCGGTCGGTGGTTGAACTGCTGTCTAAAAAGACACGGTAACATCGGAAGTAACCAGGATTATTGGAGCTCGTTGCCTCTTACTGAAACACAACAGACCGAGGATTTGGTGAGTGAAAATTAAACGAGAGTTTAGCTTAACGTTAGCAAGTGATGCTACCGTTAACTAGCTTAGTCAGCTAATAGTAACAGTCGACTAGCGTTGAAAAACTACTGGATGTTACTAAGTTAACGGTGTTTATTCAGGGGGCTTCGTCTATAGAGGGAGAATGTGAAGCGTTGTGTGTTTACCTGCTTCAGGTAAACACCTGAAGCAGGYGTTTACCTGCTAAAATAAATAGTTTACCGTTTAATAATACACATGCTATCTGCTAGCATGTGTGTTAAACAAGTGTTACTGATGGCGATTAGAAAACATCGTATTATCGGTCACAGTATTATTGGCCACAGTACAGTTATTTCTGTCTGCTGTTACGTTGGTTGTAATTGTATAGCAGAGATAATCTTAGCTGTGGCTGGTTATGTAACCAACCTAATCGTATAGGTTAGCATGGCCTAGCTAGGTAGCAAGTTAGCATCCTCTTTGTAGGGATTCATAACATAAAGTCTGTCTGTTTTCTGGACCAAAGAAACGTTTGAAAGCCAAAACCAGCATCACCTCTAAGTAAAAATAAACATTGTGTTACTAACGTTATGAAATAAATCATCTTGACACGATACTAGCAATAAGTAACGTTAAAAAAACAAATGACAATGCCAATTTCATAGCTAACGTTCGCTAGCATGCACTCAGTGTTTACACAGTCAGAATTTAATGAGTCAGTCTTGTGAAAAACAAAAAAACGAACTAAACTTTATCCATTCTTTCTCCTTCAGGTTGTTGAGACGCTAGAGGTATTTCTATGTGATGGAGTTTCCGGATTTGGGAGAGCACTGTTCCGAGAAAACCTGCAAACGTTTAGGTGAGTCCTGTTTACAATGGCCGTCTTGTTTACTCTGCTGAATTGGGGTTTCAACCTGGAATTTAAAACATCTTCATTGCAGATTTTCTTCCTATGCGATGTGATGCCTGTCAGGAGATTTTTTGCAAGGACCACATTACCTACGCAACTCACAAATGCATGTCGTCCTACAAAAAGGTAATTTGACTGTTTGCAGCATAGTACAATTAAACCATGGCAAACATAGCTATAGCTTGCTGTTGGTGATAGTAATACCTTCACCTTTTTAGGTTCTGTATTCCTATGTTTATTTAATGTCTTTTTTCCCATTAGGATGTCCAGGTCCCAGTATGTCCTTTGTGCGACATCCCCATTCCCGTCAAGAGAGGAGAGATGCCCGACATTAAAGTTGGCGAACACATAGATCGGGATTGCAAATCGGACCCTGCGCAGAGAAAGAGAAAGGTTGGTGTAAAACTGAGTTGTTTCATCTTAGAACAGTGAGTTTAAATCTAAGCAATAATAGACTATTTTTTTCCCTTCCAGATTTTCACAAATCGATGTTCTAAAGGAGGCTGTAAGCAGAAGGAAATGATGCGAGTTACCTGTGACCAGTGTCATTTAAATCACTGTCTTAAGCACCGACACCCACTAGACCATGATTGTATGACTGATGGGAAACCTCTGTCCAAACCAGGGTGGGTACATTCGCACTACATCTTTAGATAATGCTGTCGTTTCATCCGAATATTACATTAAGAATCGCTTGCTTCTTTTTGTTGTAGACATTCTGCTTTAATGAGGGCCCAAGGTGCTTCCTCCAGCTCCTGCTCCGCCTCTGCTTCATCAGGTTCAAGAAACTCTAGACCCGTTTCTAATGGTGTCGGTGCTAACAGCAGAGCACACAGCGCTGGGTAAGCACGTTTACACATTTTAAATCAATGCAGAAAAGAGTCAGCCTAATCACTTTTCAAATAAATGCCTGAAAATAAAAATCTTTTTTTCTCTCAGCCCTCCACAGCGGATTCCTACTTCCGTTTCAGCACAGAATGTGATCCCAGCATCGGCATCATTTCAGGCCGGCATGGTACGGGCATTGTTTACACGACATCACCTGATGAAATCATTCAAACGCGAGGAAAATGAAATCTAAAAACGATTGTGCTGTCATTGCAGACGGAGGAGCAGGCTTTACAAAGGGCTCTGGAGATGTCTTTGGCTGAGTCAAGTCCAGCGGTTCAGCCGGCTCTTACGTGAGTAAACTTCCATCAAAACCCAGATGCATCCCACTATCAGCTCCACTCGACTCCTAAAACGTCAGCGTGCTGCTTTTGAGTGAAACGCGTTTGTCTGACTAACCATCTTAAACCAGTGGAACTGCATTACAGCAGGGAGGAAATCATGGAGTGTAATTTATGTTGAATGAATATAATGTAAACAATTAACAGTGCTCTAATGCTGGCAAGGCAATGGAGGTCCAGGTCATCAATGCTTATTCAGACAGTAAAAGGTGTAAATTATGAGGACTGATTTGAGACTAGAAACAGCTGATTGTCGTCCAGCAAACACGACATTCAAATCTCCCAAAATATCGTTCTCTACGTAGTGCCTTTCTTAATAAGGTTACAAGGTGTTGCTCAAGTAAAAGCAAAACATGTCAACCAAGGAAAAGTTTAAGTTAATCAGATAACACGAATATATATATATTCGTGTTATCTGATTAACTTAAACTTATATTCGTGTTATCTGATTAACTTAAACTTTTCCTTGGTTGAGATATATATATTTATATATTTCAAAAAAAAAAAAAAAAAAAAAAAAAACAAAACCAAACCCCAATTTTTTTTTTTTTTTATTAGAAGACTCTTTTAAAAAGGATGCAGAAGAAGTCTTGCTCTCACATTAACTGTCAATACCGCTGGAGAGCTTTGCATCTAAAAAGTTTGATTTGCTCAACAGTAACTTATGAGGAACATGAATGAATAAACATGCAGCTGATGCTCCGGTTAACGTTTATTCAATAAAAGACTCATTTCTGTCACTAGTTTCCTTCTTGTTTGTAAAGTTAATGATATGACTGAACAGCTAATGTGTGAGATTCTTTGCTGCTTCAGGTTAAGAATGAATCGTACGTTACACATCGTCAGTTAAATCTAGTGTACAAACGACAGGGAGGCAGCACTATAAATTCATATTTCATGGGGCTTAACTTAGTTTGTTTTCACTGACTGATGCTCAGGTTCTTTGTTTGTGTCCCAGTCCTCAGGAGCAGGAGGACCAGGCTCTCGCCGAGGCTCTCGCCGCCAGTGAAGAAGAATACAGACGTCAGCAGCAGAGACAACAGGTACCCGGAAAGCTTAGGCATCGGTAGCATGCTCACAGGAACACATGGAGGTACACTGTTGCCATGGCAATCCATCCTCTTTGAACTTTCTTTACTCGCAGAAAGATTCGTTTGCCTTTTCATACATTTTTAATGACTATATGAAATGTGTGGGGGTCTTTGTTTCTAACTGTATTCTCTTTGTTTAGGGGCGAGAGTCCAAACAGTCCAACTGCAGCCTTTCTTAATCTCTGATCCAGCTGTGCTACTCATCTACTAGAACCTGCACATCTGGGATGTGGATATCCGGGATCAACGATTGTTTCATGAAGAAGTCCTCTTGGGAGTTGCTGAGCTATTACCGCCTTCTACAATATAAGCACATACTTTCCCAGCAGGGTCATTTTTACTAATGCTTTGCTCTGTACATATTTTATATACTGATCATGATGAAACAGTCTATTACCATAATCAATATTGAATAAATTATTTCAAAAGGTGTGAAGAGCTCAATTGATTCAGATTTGAAGATGCACACTGAGACTCAGACCTGTTGTTTAGGCTAATTAGGAAGAGTTGTGAGGGGGAATAATCAAATGATTTATTCAGGGCTTGTTTACAAACTGCTCAGAATTAATGCATCTGGCCCAGTTTTATTCTGCAAAATACAGCATCTGTGTGCATGATGACCACACGACACATAGAATACTGATAGTAACCATGTCATCACGAAGGTGTCGTGATGGAAACATTGTTAATAAAGAACGTACAAGTGATCAGCAGGATTATGATTCTGATCCGATGGTGTCCAATGAAGTAGCAAGGTTTAACCATCTTCAAACGTATACTTATGAAATTATTTCATATCAGAATTGTTGTGGAATAAGACACAACAGCCTTGACTGATTTCAAATCTATATTTCTGCTTTAACATGAGAGCAAATTTGAAAGTGTTAGACGGGTAGATATACTTTCAAATTTAATTATGTTTTGAAGAGGATTAGATTAGGTAAATGGATTACATATATCTTAACATGTCTATCCTGCTGCTCTCTTGCTACTGGGGCAGCGATTAATTGATTAGCTGTAAGAAATTGAAATCTAACAACTTTGTTTAGTCATTTATCAGGCAAAAATGCTAAACACTTTCTAGTAATTTCAAAAATGTAAAGATCTGGTTCTTTCGCTACGTTTTACATTATAAACTGAATATTTTAAAGTTTTGGACTGTTTGGACGGATAAGACAAGCATATTGATTATGGGAACAGTTGCTATTTTGTTAACCACAGCTAAAAGAAAAGATTGAATTAATAGAAAACGTGCTTGTTGCGGTGAGTCATTCACAGTTTGTGCAGCAGAGGGCAGCAAACCTTCAGAGAGACGTCATCTTCCACAGCAGGCTGGATGCGTACCTCACAGCAGTGTGTTGCTATTTATCTACTTATTGTTCTTACAGAGATTATATTGTCATGTAACATCAGTTGACTGCTCCTTTGCTGCCGTTTTCATGCTGAGACAGTAACGAGGTCCACTGAGGCATTTGATGCAACCAACAAAGCCAGCTGTAAGCAGTGCTGTGAGCAAAGCAGACCAAATCCATTACCATGATGATATTTAATAAGCACGACTGAAGGGAGTACAGCTGCTGGATAAGACCTCTTCAACCTGCTGCAGTTTGCAGTTGCCACAAAAATACCATTTTACCATCATGATGCCAGTTTCCACTGTGATAACCATCATAAATACTCTTTGTCAGAACACAATATCACCGCTGATATTGTTTAGTGACATTTGGTTCTTCAGTTTCCTGTAAACAGTTCATTACAAGTATTCAAAATAAGCCTTTCTGAACTAAATTATGCATTATGATCTCATCAATTGGAGCATAGATTTGCATATCTCTTCAAACTACTGCAAGTACCAACAGTTCTACAGAAGATTTGGAGCTCATATTTATACATTTTATGCACAAAGACATTTGTATACTTCATCTCATATGCACCACTGATTGTGGAAGATTTTGATTAATGTTTATTTTAGCCGACACCAATATTAAACAGCTATGAAATGCATTTAGCATCTTATTGCTTTCACACAGTTTCTAAGCATCTGCAGTCACTAAAGTGAAAAGCACCAATGACTTCAAGTTAAATGTAGAAACTGAATGTTTGCACACGGTCCCTGGTGAGGATGCAGTTGTTTTAGTGACAACAGGTTCACAATGAAAAAAGAAAGACACCTGCTACCTTCAGTATTACAATATGCTGAGGACAGATTCTGCTGGTTATTGTGACATTACCAAGGATATTTAATTCGTTTTACAATTGTGCCTTATATAGCATGCAGGACACTGATATACAATGCTTGATATTAAGCAATTATTGCCAGAAAAGCAGACCAATCCAGCACTCAGGCTGAGTGAAAGTCTAAGTGAAAAGAGACTGAAGTTCAAAATACAAAAACATAGAAATAGAAATTCTCGCTGTGATTGTTGAAAAGGTCATTTCTCTGGGTGTAACATTGAGTCTCTGACATGTCCTGTTACTTTTGGGGTCAATTTGACCCCAGGCTGTTTTAGCTGTATAAAACATATAAGAAACATCAACATTTTACACACATTTGTTTTGGTTGTTTTGGATGATATTGAGGTCACTATAACATGCAATTTTATAATCTTCAAAAAGCTTGAGGGCCCAAACCTAACATAACCATAACTGTAGTAGTGTGAGAACCACTGATAGTTCACACGACATGGGGGCGGAGCAAACACTTGCACAGCAGCCTTCTAAAACATTTCTCTTGGTGCTCTGTGTGCTTTCTCTTTCTGCTCTCTCTCAACTGAAAATGAGTTGTAAGGAAAGGTTTTCTGTCAATGAGGTGTTGTCTCATCTCTTTGACCATGAAAGTGACATAGAGGAGAATGTGTCTGAGACAAAGCATGATGTTGAGGAGGACCCTGATTTTGAGGTATCCTCCTCTGATGAGAATGAGACCCTCAGTGTTGACCCTCAGTGTTGACCCTCCTGTTGTCTCTCAACCACCAGCAAACACACTACCTTCCACAAATGGAAAGTTATTATGGTCCGTCTCCCCACTTGAACAACAGGGTAGACTTAGTGCTGCTAATGTCATCAAAATGGTTCCAGGCCCCACCAGATACGCTGTCAGCCATGACCAAGACATACAATCAGCATTTGAGCTCTTCATAACACCATCAATCGAAAAGGATATACTTGAGATGACAAATTTAGAGGGGAGGCGTGTGTATGGGGACAGTTGGAAAGACTTGGATGTGACCCACTTGCAAGCTTACATTGGGTTGCTCATTTTGGCAGGAGTGTACAAGTCAAAAGGCGAAGCAACAGCAAGCCTTTGGGCTGCTGACACTGGAAGGGCAATATTTCCAGCCACCATGTCTCTAAACACATTCCATGTTTTCTCCCGTGTCATACGCTTTGATGACAGAGAAACAAGGCAGGGCCGACGAGAGCGTGACAAACTGGCAGCAATATGGGATGTATGGGACAAGTGGGTTCAGCGATTACCCTTTCTTTACAATCCAGGCCCTCACGTGACTGTGGATGAATGTCTGGTTGCATTTCGTGGGCGCTGTCCCTTCAGAAAATACTGAAATTGTGTTTGTTTTTCCTTGTTTTCGACAACAGAAATTGTTTTTCATTCCAAATGTAATTATGTCCTTAGAAATAATATAAAGCCATTAAAGATATCTCTTTCCAATTTTAGGTCAATCAGTGAGATTTTATGGTGATCTGCATATTTCTCCATAGTCGCATAACAGGTATTCAGGATGTATAAGGGGGGTTGTTTTATTTAAAGTGCTATTTAGGTAGTCAACAAACAAACATAAAGTACCTGACACATAAACTTGGGTAACAATTTTAATTATAATAATTTTCTGCAGGTTTAAATTGCTGGGGTCAAATTGACCCCAAGGATAACAGGTGTTAGTAAATTTGAAGGCAACAGGAGGGTTACGAATTCCAATGCTTTTCACCTCCGTTGCCTCCCGTCTCTGGGGATTGTATTCCAGGTGGTGACGAAGCTCATTGAGGCGTAAGCTTGATGCACCTGATCCCCGCAACACATCAGCATCCACTCAGCGCACATCTTGTTAATCTGCAGTGATGAATTGGTACATGATCTCCTTTGTGTCATTTCAATTATGTTCCATGGACTTCAAGGTTTTCTGACTGACTGCTGCTTTTGTAACAAAAACAAAAAAAAAATGTTCCTGAATAAGCTGCAAAGATTCTCTTGTGAGGAGAATAACTTCGCCCTCATGGCCATGAGATGTGGCCATGAATCCAGTGGATGTTTTCACAGTTACTGGTTCAACATACGACCGTGTGCTGGCTGTGTTTTCTTAGTAAACCCGCAATTCCTTTACCACATTATGTGAACAAACAATCAAGCAGATGTTCTTATCAGAAATATCAGTTTGCAAAAGTAAAAGCTTTGTAATTCAATTTTCTTAGTAAAGTGAAAAAAAATTAAAAAAATACTTGCATATATGAAAATAGTCAGAAAACACGGATTTATTACACTTCCTTGATTTATTGTAGAAACATAAATTAAAAGGAATATATTTCTATATAATCCCATGTTATGTAGAGTTTGGGGGCCCAAATGGTTACAATTATTTTACCATGTTTCCGTAAAAACTGCAAAGTGATTGTTCACACACACACACACACACACACACACACACACACACACACACACAC